AGATCTCCCCCCTACATATAGTAGGGGGGGGGGGGGAAGAAAAAATAATTAATTAGAATTTAATTGTAATCAAAAAATAAATTAAATGATATGAAGTCATTTTTTAAGGTGGTAGAGTTGATTCATGACCTACAAATTACATTAAGGAAGGTTATTATTATACTAACTATTCAATTGAATTGAGATAGTATTAATACCTAAAGGGAAACCTAAATAAGAAAAATAGTGAATTGAAACATCTTAGTAGCTATAAAAAGAAAATAACAATGATTTATAGAGTAGTGGTGAACGAAATATAAAAAGTTCAATGAGTAATACATAGAAAGTGTATGAATATAACTGCATAAACAGTTAAGACTAAAAACTTAATGTAAATAACATAAGTACTGTGAAGGAAATATGGATAATGGATCAATATAGCTAATAATATTCGAATAAGAATATTATGTACCTATTGCATAATGGGTTGGTTAGTTATTAGATATAGCAAATCAAATAAGAAGATATATATAACTAAAAATAAATAAGTTATATTTAATATACCCGAAACTAGATGATTTTTTCTTGACCAAGTAATTCATTAATTTGAATTGACTGAACGGTAATTTGTAGCAATAAATTCCGATGAGTTGAGAAAGGGAAGTGAAAGACAAATCTGATTTAGATATAGCTGGTTGTCGACGAAATATATATTAGTATAGACCATTTAAAGTTTTATATATATAAAACAAAATATTACTATAATATTACAGCAATTTTTATTGACATAATCATTTTTTATATATAAAAAATGGTAATAATATTGGGGATCCTAAACGATTTATCAACAATAAATAACCTCGAAATATGATATGTAATTCATAAATGGATTCGGACTATTTACTTTAAGGTAATTAGTCAATAGGGCAATAACCCGAATAAATGATAAAGTACCAAAATAATATTAAGTGTTATCAACATAAATTTGTATTAATACGTTTTAATTACTGGGTTTGATAGTAACTATGTTTTAATTAACGTGTAACAACGAATTAAATAATAAATACAGTTTGTGATAAATTATTAGTGCTCAAAATATTATACTGATTCATTTAATATTTACATCTCGCAATCCGCGAGATAGTAAATAAGATAGTCGACTACATAATGAGAGTTAAACCTATAGAAATAAAATATTAATGTTTATAGGTTATTGAATTATGTTAAAACTGCTAACATGAGTAACGTAAATTGGTAAAGTTTATAAAACAAAAACCAATTCATCTTAAAAGCGAGGTTTTAATAGAAAATACGGATTCTAAGCAAATAATTTTGACAAAAATTAGGCGATGAAAATTTAAATTGTACAGTTATAATAATATATATATTATATTATATTAGACTCAAGAAATATAATTTATAAATACCGTAATTATACCGACACAGGTGCTTATATAGAGAATATTAAGATGAACGAGTGTAATGAATATTAAGGAACTCGGCAAAAAAAATGATAGATAATTCATATAAAAATGAAGTTGTACAACTGTTTAACTAAAACACAGCACATTGCAGATATTAAATTATTAGTATAATGTGTGAACTCTGCTCAATGCTTAGAAATAAATGAATTGATTAATTTTGTGATTGATTTTCAATACTTGCAAATAGCCTTAACGTGAGGGTTCTAAGGTAGCGAAATTCCTAGGCTAATAATTGTAGTCCTGCATGAATGACGTAATGATACAACAACTGTCTCTATATTCAACTCGGTGAAATTAAATATGTCGTGAATATTCGACATGAAACATGTAATTAGACGAAAAGACTTAGGCAGCTTTACTATAACATATTATTGTTAATAATGAGATGATTTTATTATACATATTCGGGAAATAGAAGATTATATCTCCGGCTCTTTCGAGCAGGTTATATAATATTATTAATAATATTAATAATATTAATATTATTAATAATGTATTTATTATTTAATTTATTAAATAATAAATTATAATATATATATTTATATTAAATTATTCAATAATTAGATAAATATATACTCATTATTGTATTAATAATTATAAATAGCAAGTAATTAAATTATGTATATAATTATAATTTGGAAGAATTACTTTAATTATTAATAAAGACTTATTTTACTTTTTAATTTAAAGATTTAAATTAGGTAGAAGAACGTGATATGTGGTTAGTTTTACTGGGGCGGTATTTTCATAAAAACTATCTGAAAATTCCATAATGATAATAATTTTAATTAAAATTAGTTATAATTAATATATGATCAAATTAGTAAAGAAAACTAAATTCATTAAATAAGGATGAATAAAATCAATAATAGGATAATCATATATGATTTAAGTTTCAACAAAAATTTAAAGGATGAAAATCTGGTATAGTGAACAGAACATTATATTGAATTTATAGAGTGTTCGATTAAAGGATAAAAGTTACGCCTTAGATAACTGGTTAATTTGGATAATAGTTCTAATCGTAATCCAAGCTTAACACCTCGATGTCGGCTTACGTTATCCTAGAAGTGAAGCAGCTTCTAAAGGTTAAACTGTTCGTATATTAAAAACGTACATGAGCTGGGTTCAGTGCATTGTGAGATAGCACGGTTTCTATCTTTTACATGGTAAATGTTTCTATTTAATTGGTTTACTTAGTACGACAGGATTGGTAAACAATTATCACTGGTTAATTATTAAGTATATTTATATAAATATAACGTGATTAAGCTACATAATTAAATAATAAAAATTGAAAGAATATAAAATTTGAAGTATAATTAGTTAGGCATAAAATATATATTGTAGATTACAATATCGTATATATATTCATATATACTATCGACTAGAATATAGTCAGATTTAATATACACCTTAATAAATACATATCTTAGTCTCCCTATAATAAATAAAAATAAAAAATATTCCTATTAACCCTTCTAACCCTTCCAAAGAATTAATAATGAATAGGTAATGCAAAGGTTAACCCTCAAAATCATTTATTTTGAGAATGGTTTATATATATATAAAATTATAGGGAAAGAGTTAAGGGTAAATGTTAAATTAGTTTAAGGGTAAAACAATTGTTTTGTAATCAGTAGCTTTTGGTTCAAATCCAAAATTTAACATTAAAATTTATAATATTATCCTCCCATAATTAAAAGAGTTGATTTTTAAGACCTTATCGTCAAACGTAAGACGTTAGAACTTCACTCTAAAAATACGGGTTCAAGTCCCGTTAAGGTTAAAAAATATAATATTATTAAAGTAACATAGTGTAATGGTATCACATCAGGCTCATAATCTGATAATATTTGGTTCGAATCCATTTGTTGCTATATAATTTATAATAGGTTAATAGAAAGTTTGGAACTATAGTTTAAAGGTTAAAACTAACCGCTCATAACGGTTCAATGATTGTTCGAGTCAATCTGGTTCTATAAAAATATATAAATATATTTTTTATATTTATTAAATAATAAGTCAAAATGATGGAATTGGTAGACATGATCCGCTTAAGTTGGATTGCTTTTTTGCATATAGGTTCGAGTCCTATTTTTGATATAGAAGGGAGTAATAATACTTCCTTTAAAAGTAGAATATATATATAACATAATAACAAAAAGTAGACTCTGAACCATCTCTTTGAGACGGTTCGAGTCCTATTTTTGTTATAGAAGGGAATAAATATATACACATAAAAGAATAATATATAAGAAAAAAAAATAACGAATGTCCCTAACTTCATCCTTTTGGATTGTAAGTTCCGATAAATATATATATTATATGTTCATAAATTAAGATATATATATATCTATTATCGGTCCTTCTCTTTGATAATTTATTAATAATGTGTTAGGTAGCGGGCAGGGTATTTAATACTTTTAGCTCTACTGAGTTGTAGATTAATTGGCAAATCACTTAAATTTGAGTTAAGACTATGAAAGTTCGAATCTTTCCAATTCATATTAAATATATTAATTAAGGGTTTATAGTTTAACGGTAAAACTTTTGTCTTTTAATCAATAAATATAGGTTCGATTCCTATTGGACCCCTTTCTATTATTTATATTAAATAATATAATTATTATATAAAGGACCAAATAGAATCGAACTATCGGCTTGCCGAAGGTTCGATTCCTATAGGACCCCTTTCTATTATTTATATTAAATAATATAATTATTTATGAAATATTCAATAGATAATTATAAAAATTTAAGGTACTTTTTAACTAATTGAATCGAAACATCTTAGTTTGTAAAGCTATATATAATTATATATAGGTAAAAGTTGTATATGTAAAAAATTTAAGTTAAAAATAGTAAAAACCTTTAATTTAACGGTAAAATACATAATTGATAATTATGATACGTCAGGTTCGACTCCTACAAGGTTTAATAAAGGATATTTGGCTGAGCGGTTGAAAGCATGATATTTGAGCTATCATATATAATTTATTATATCGAGAGTTCGAATCTCTCAGTATCCGAATATTTTTTTATCAGCCCTAACTTATAATCTACTATATGTAGGTAAATAGTGGGCAGATAATTAATTATAACATATGTCATATTATATTGACTTAAGGGGATTTTAATTTAACTGGTAAAATAATAGTTTTGCATACTATAAATATGAGTTCGATTCTCATAGATTCCATAATAATAGTTCGCATAACTTAAATGGTTAGAGTGACAATTTGAAGCATTGTATGTCTAGGTTCAATTCCTGGTGTGGACATTAATAATATATATATAATATAGATAAAGTCATATTTATAATAAATATTTATTCAATACAGCAAATTAAAAATTAAGTATAATAAATATATTATTTATTAATTATCAGCTGGCCTCCCTACCCCCTACTAGTAGGGGGTAGGGAGGCTATAATAAATTTAATAAATTTATGTGCAGATAATAAAGGGTGATACTTTCAAAAGACCTTGCTTAAATATAAGATTATATAGTATTATAGGAAAGATCTCCAATGTTGGTATTTGGAGTTGAGCTGTAGTCTCAATGATTAACTTCTTCGTAGGTTCAATTCCTACTCTTTTCATAGAAAGGTATTAAATTATATGAGATGCATATCTAAATACCCAAGAGTTAGAATTGAACTATTTCACAGGGAGGAGTGACTATAGTCACTCCTAACTGAAAGAAAAGGTTCAATTCCTACTCTTTTCATCTCCTCCCTTTCCCTTATAATATAAAAGATAAGCGACAAGATTCATTCGATTAGCCGTTGGAACTTGAACCATCTCTTACCCTCCTTTTTTTATATAAAAAAGGAGGGAACTAAAAGAGAAGGTTCAATTCCTACTCTTTTCATAGAAAGGTATTAAATTATATGAGATACATATCTAAATACCCAAGAGTTAGAATTGAACTATATAACTAACCCATCTTTGATGGGTTAGTTAAAGAAAAAGATTAAATTCCAACTTTTTAGTTATTATAGCTTAAAGGTAAAGCCGATCACTGTTAATGATCTGATGTAGGTTCGATTCCTTCTGATAACGTATAAAATTTAGAATAAAATCTATAAAACTTATCCTTAAATTGAGGAAATAAAAAACAAAACAAAATGATGTACTTAACATATTACTTTATTGAAATAACTATTTTCTTAGCTATTTTATGTACTATATTTATAATATCAGCTAAAAATCCTATGGTTAGTATATTATATATGATTGCTTTATTCGTTATAGCAGCTATGTATTTATACTTAATTGGTTTAGGTATATTTAGTTTATTATATATAATGATATATATAGGAGCTATAGCAGTTCTATTCTTATTTATTATAACTTTATTAGATATAAATTCTACTGAATTATCAGTAAAATCTAATATAAGAGATTTACCATTAGTATTAATTTCATTAATAGTTTTAACTATAAGTGGTTTAATGATATATTCAAATGATAGTATATTAATTAATAAATTATTAGAAGCCTTTGGTAATGATTATAATACTATAATAACACAAGACTGGTTCAATATAGAAAATACAACTTTATTAACAACTATAGGAAATGTATTATTAACAAATAATGCTTTTATCTTATTAGTGTTAGCTATAGTATTATTATTAGGAATTATAGGTCCTATATCAATAACAATGAAACATAAAGAATAAATATTCTATTATATAGCATTAAAATAAATTTAATGCAGTCCCCCCCTACCCCCCCCCTACTAGTAGGGGGTAGGACAGTTTTAGCCATCTTTGATGGATTGGGGGCAGCTAGAATATTGGACCCAGATTAATTAATTTTAATTTAAGGTGGTATTCCTCTATTCTGTTAATAGAGGAGTCAACTTGGGTATCAGAAATAAAATAAAGTCATATCTCTAATACAATTATGGATAGTAGACAAACCATAAAAAAAAATGATAATAAATATCGTAGAAATTTTAATATTTTTAGTTTGTGTGTTATTTAGTGTTGCTTACTTAACTGTAGCCGAAAGAAAGACATTAGCATATATGCAAAGAAGATTAGGTCCAAACTTTGTGGGTTTTAATGAAGAAAATTAAATAATAATATTAATTATGTTTAAGACAATTGATACAAAGCCATCACAGATTATAGAAAATAAATTATATCAAATTGAAATATATATTATATTTAAATATAGAAAATACCTATGTATTGTTTTTGGAATGTAAAAATATAATGGATACATTATATTTATCAGAAAACAATATAAATAAAAGAATATTTTGAATTATCTATTATAGATATATTTTTTAAAAGAAAATATTAAAGAGAGAAAACTTTTGTAAGTTTTTCCTTTATTAAAAATTAACTTTTATAGTAAAAATTCTTTAGTTAATACTTAATTTATAAAATCAATTAATAATCTGTCCACTATTTACCTATATATAATAGGTTATGAGTAAAGGTTGAAAATAAAATAAATATGGATATAAATGATATATAATATTATATCTATAAATGAGGCAAATAAAAATTATCAATGTCAAATAAAAAAATAAATATAAAAAATCTAAATTAATAAAGATATCTATAGGAATATATATTTAATTAATAAATTAATTAATTAATTTATGTTATGTTATGTTATGTTATGTTATGTTATGTTATGTTATGTTATGTTATTTAATAAATAAAAGTCATAAAAAGAATTAAGAACTTTTTTTAGTAGCCCAAATAGAAGTGAACCTTCTATTAAATATCATCAAATTGCGGGGAACCCTTAAAGCTATTTCAACTAAACAAAGATGGTAACATCTTTGTGGTACAGGTAATGACTCGTAATATAGTAAAATCGAAATAGATGACGAAAGGAAATAGGCAATCTGCAGCCAAGTTCCATAATAAATATGGAATGCAGTTCATCGACTAAATGGTGGTAGGTATCTGAAAGATGATATTTAAAATATAGTCAGTCCCTATTCGAAAGAATAAGAAATAAATAGTAATAAATAAATATGTTCATTTAATTTATATATTTATAGGGGGGTAAATCTCTAACTTTTCCTTTAAATATCAGCCCGCTCTCGGGCTGAGGATAAAAGAGATTAACGTACTATGGACTTCTTCAAGCATTCGCAGACGCGGTAAAACTATTATTAAAAGAAATAGTTTTACCAAAAGAATCAAATTATATAATTTTAGTTATTAGTCCTTTAATTACTTTAATTACAGCCTTAATAGGTTGAGTAGTTATACCACTAGGTCCAGGTATAACTTTAGGTGAATTAAATTTAGGTATTTTATTTAGTTTAGCTATAGGATCATTAGGTGTATTTGGTTCATTATTAAGTGGTTGATCATCTAATAGTAAATATTCATTATTAGGTTCAATTAGATCAACAGCTCAATTAATATCATATGAGTTAATATTAACATCTATTTTCATTATAATTATAATGTTCGTTAGTTCTTTAAATATTACTACTATAATTGAAACACAAAGAGTTGTATGATATTGTATCCCATTATTACCTCTATTATTAATATTCTTTATAGCTTCAGTTGCAGAAACAGCTAGACCTCCTTTTGATTTAACAGAATCTGAGTCTGAATTAGTTGCTGGTTATTTTACTGAATATTCAGGTAGTCCATTTGTATTCTTCTTCTTAGCAGAGTATTCAAATATTATCTTAATTAGTGCTTTTAATGGTTATTTATTATTAGGTGGTTACTTATCATTTAACTATAGTTACTTATTCAATATATTATTTAACGATTATAGTTATGTTTCTTTCTTATTTGAAGGTTTAATTAATTCATCAGCTTATGCTATCAAATTAGTATTCTTAATGTTCTCATTTATTTGAGTTAGAGCAGCTTTCCCAAGATTTACTTATGATAATTTAATTAACTTCTGTTGAATAATATTATTACCTTTATTATTTGGTATATTCTTAATAATACCATCTACATTATATATATTTGATAGTTTCCCTACATTAATATAATATATTATAAATTATGGTCTTTATCTTTTCCTTATATAAATTAAGGTAGATATAGTAATATATATTACGTTCGCAAATTAATTTGCGAACATGGGATATTGTATCGGTATACAAATGGGATTGCAAATCTTATTATATTAGTTCGACTCTAATATATCCTTTAAAAAAATAAAAGTCATAGTTTTTTGATATTTCCCTCCCCTCCTATAGTTTATAAAGGTAATATAATAGGGAGGGTATAAATAATATAATAATTAGTTATATATTATATAGTTATATTATTATACATTCATATATTTTAAAGTATAAAATAAAGATAAAGATAATATAAATATATAATAATATTATATAGTTATATTATTATATATCATATATTTTAAAGTATAAAATAAAGATAAAGATAATATAAATATATGAGGAGGGGTGAAAACAAGAAAATTAATTTAATTGTAATCAAAAAATATATAATAATAATATAATATATATTTATATTATGCTTGATATTATTATAATATACAAGCAAATATAGGTTAATGGTAGACCAAATGATTTCCAATCATTATGTGCTAGTTCGAGTCTAGTTATTTGTATCAAATAAAAAAGACATAGAAATTAGCTTAATTGGTAAAGCAACTATCTTACACATAGAAGAGTATAGGTTCGAATCCTATATTTCTAATATTCCTCTCCATTAGAGGTGCAATTTATATAGTATAATCAATTATACGAATAGTTAGTCAGAAATAGCAGATACGAACTATCGAAGGTTCGAATGCTATATATATTCTAATATATTATATAAACCTAAGGTGGGTTTATAAGACGTATATATAAATATATATAATAAATATATAGTAATAATTATATAAATAAATCATAAAAATAATAATAAAAAAAGAGTTTTATATTGGCTCTCGTAAGTATTATCTAGAAACATATATTATGCAAACTAACAAATTATAGATTTTCATAAGGGAAATAGTAGTATAATTTAGAGTAGTGAACACACGAGTAATAGATAAGAAACTACAACATAATATAGCAATAAATTTGTAATAAGAATATTATAAAAGAATTTATAATATTTATAAAGTATGTATAAACATATGTATTATGTGAGGCTTATCTTAATATTAGGTAGTTGGTTACAATAAATAGAGAACGCAAGCTTAAAATATTTAGTCTAATTAAGACCGTGTAGGATCTGAAACATATCCTAATTTCAATGAAATCAGCAGTAAGTAACATTCGTCAATGATTGAAAGATTGAACGAGTTATCTAGTAGAATTATTAAAACTGAAGTTAAAGATATGGAAAAATAGTAATGTATTAAAAAATATCAGTAATAGTTTTAGAACGAACATAAAATTCGAATTTTAATATAAAAAAGATATATTAATTGTGATAGTATGTACTAATATCAGTGCCAGCAGTAGCGGTAATACTGATCATACAAATACTTATAATATACTTGGCTTAAAGGGTTTGTAGATGGATGTAACAATACATACTAGAATTTATAAGATGTTATTTCAATTTTAAAAGTAAGGATAAAATTTGCGTATAATTAAAGTTGACCCAAAATTTGGAAAATAATAACAAATATGAATTGACATTAAGAAACGAAAGTTAAAATATAGAAATCGATTAGAGACCGGTGTATTTTTAACCGTAAACGAAACATATTGAGAATAAAAATAGTTAAACGATAATATGTCGCCATAGTAGTACGTTCCCAGGAATAAAACTAAAAATATAAGACGGTTTGGAACTCAAGTAGTGGAACATGTTGTTTAATTCGATAATCCCCGATAAACTTACCTATTTTTGTATTCTAAACAGGTGTTACATCATTGTCTTCAATTCGTGTTGTGAAATGTTAGGTTAAGTCCAAGCAACGAATAAAAACCTCTATAATATTAATAAATATTATTTATATTTAATCAAAATGGTTAACATAAAGAGGACTAAGACAAATCAAGATGACCCAAATAGATAGGGCTACAGATGTGTTACAAAATATAAAGAAATAAAAAATTAAAGAAATAATAAAAACTTTAATAAAATATATAAATTATATAATAAAATGATTATTTCATTTGCTCCATGGATAAAAGTTTGAAATTCAGCTTTTTGAAAAAGGAATTACTAGTAATTATCGTTAAGTATACGATAATGAATATCATCTTTCATTCGTACTAATCACTCATCACTTGCTTAAAGAATAAAATGTTAAGTTTTTTTAAAGTAAATCAAATTAAATTTGTTTTTATATTATTATTACAGCCCCCTAATTCATATTTTGAATAGGTAAGAGGTAATAATAATAATTGTTATATATTTATTAAAATATATAATAATATTAAATACGCATTAAGTTTAATAAGTAAGAAGTTGAAATACAGTTACTGTAGAGGAATCTGCAGTGGTAAATAAAAATTTAAGAAGAATCTTTTTAAATATATATAAGATGTTCATAGTTTAATGGTAAAACATAGACTTGTGGTGTCTAATTTTTGAGTTCGATTCTCAATTTACATCCAATAATATATAATAACAAATACAAATATAAATATAAAAATATTTGGATCAATTAATAATAATAAAAATGACATATATAAATAAGCAAAATAGTAATTATAAAATAAATAATTTTAATTATTTAACTAAAAATAATTTAAAACAAAATGATGTTATAAATAATATAGATAAAATTATAGATACATATATGGTAAAATTTATAAATAATGATATAAAAGATGATAATAAATTAAAATTAAATAATAATAATAATATTGTTTTAAAAGAAAGAACTATTAATTTTAATAAAAGAAATACTTTATATAATACTAATTATAACTTAGAGAATAATAATATAGAGATAATAATGTTTATATATGAAAAATCAGCAAAAAATAAATTATTATATAGTTACTTAACTAATTTAAGATTAAAAAGAAGATTCTTCAAAAAGAAAAATAGAAAAACAGACATATCTTTAGATTTATTAATTAAACATAATCAAAAATCATTATATTATATAAATTCATCATCAAATATGAATATTAATAATTCTACTTATTCTAATTTAGAGGATTATTTAAATAATATATATATAGATTATAATATAACAATAAAACCTATAATATTAAAATATCCTCAGATGGATAATAAAATATTTAATAATTTTATATTGTTTAGACAAACTAAAAAAACAAATATAATATGAAGATATTATAAAAGATTATTTAAAAAAATGAAAGTAGTTAATCATAAAAATATAGGTAATATAGCTATCTCTAATTTAAAAAGAATAGATAGAAATATTAATAAAACTAATGAAGAATTACCTTTAAATACAATAAATAAAAATAGAAAAAGTATATTATCAGATTATTTATTATATAAAAGAATAGTAGGTTTTAGTTTAAATTTTACAGGACAATATTTAACTAAAAAAAAAAAAGAAAAGTAAAACCTTATTCAATAAGCAAAGGTCCTTTATATAATTCAATGTGTTCTTATAATAATAATTATAATAGTATTACTTTTAATAAATATCCAGGATATATTAGTGTATATTCAAAATCTACTACTTATAATAATACAGTATTAGGAAAAATAGGTTTAAATACTAAAATAACATTAGTATAAAAAAAAAAAGTATATATATATATATATATATATATATGAATTAATAGCTTAATGGTAAAGCATACACTTGTCACGTGTAGAAATGTCTGTTCGACTCAGATTTAATTCGATAAAATAAAAAAAGAACATAAAGAATGACCATCCCCCCCCCCTTAAAATTTTAATAATATATGATTAGAGGGGGGGGTTTTGCAAGTTTAATAAATTATAATTTGTAATTATAATACTATCTGGCCCCCTCCTAACTAAATCAAACATAAGATTAGGGTAAATAGAGATAAAATAATAAAAATGTTTATGTAGTTTAATGGTAAAACTTTCGCTTCTTACGCGAACTCTGGTAGTTCGATTCTACCCATAAACGATATAAGTAGAAATGAAATTTTGTTCGTTTTATACATTGAAAACTATACAAATTAACTAAAATATATATATATAAATTATATATATTCTATATATAACTATAAAGTTAAATTTCTAGATAAGTAAAACAAAGCTATATAGAACTTAAAATCACTTGAATGTTCGAAGATAAAGTAGATTTAACATAATTATTCTAATCAAAAAGATATATACTATCTCTTACCATAATTCTTTTAGGGTAAGAGGTTTATATATAAATCATATATACTTTAGGTAATCTAGGGAAAATATAAATATCAGGCCGCGTTACTCATTATAAATGGGTTAGGGCTGAAAGATTAATTATGAGTTTATATAGTATAAGACTTATCACTCTTAAATAGAGAAGTCTAAATAATATAATTTATAAATATAAAAGATATTATAAATCAATTATGTATCCTAAAATTAATATATTAAAATTAATAATATTAATAAAACCCCCCCGGCCCTCTAACCCATTATAAATGGGGGGGGGCTGATATAATAAAAAAATCCTCTTTCTAATATAAAATGTTAGGTTAAAGGTTAATAATTATAGTAATAATTAAGGGGGGGGGATAAGGGTAAGACAGAGAAAAATAAAAAAATATATTCATCGTGGGGACACCTATGAAAATTATTCATTATGAGTTTAAAATTAAATATTCAAAGATGATTATTTTCTACAAATGCTAAGGATATCGCGGTTCTGTATTTTATTTTTGCTTTATTTTCAGCAATGATTGGTACAGGATTATCCGCTATAATTAGATTAGAATTAGCTAACACAGGATCACCGTTCTTACATGGAAATACTCAAGCATTTAATGTAGTGATCACAGCTCATGCAATATTAATGATATTCTTCTTCGTCAACAATAGAATATTATTTAAATCTCATACACCAAATAATAATATAATTATAAATCCTGATAGTGTTATAATAAGTGATAATAATAATAACAATAATAACAATAATAATAATAATCATTTTAAATATACTAAAGTAATAATAGAAGATCCATTAAACAATAGAGATATATTATTAAGGGTAGCAAAAGGTCAAAAAGGTATATATATTTGGGAAAGTATAGATGGTAAAAATAAATATGTAGGACATTCTATAAATTTATATAATAGAATATCATCATATTATATGCCAAGTATCTTAAAAACTAAAGCTAGAAAAGTATTATCATATTTAAATGAAAATGGTTTTAAAGATATTAAATTAACTATATATATTTTAAATTCAGAAATATTAATAGATGATTTAGTAAAATTAGAACAACATTTCTTTGATACATTAAAACCAAATTTAAATATGACTTTAATAGCTAGTGCTACTTATAATAATGGTACTATGAGTGAAAATGCTAAATCAAAATTAAGAACTGAAAGAGGTATACCTATCTTTATATATGATGTAAATACTTTAAATTTATTATATATATTTGAATCTAAACAAGATATGTATAATAAATTACATATACATCATATTACTTTAAATAAATGTTTAGACTTAAGTGAATTTTATTTAGATAATTTTTTATTATCATTAGATTATATAGAAGAATTTATAAATGAAGATATATTATCTTTAGATGAAATTATAAATTTAATAACTAAAAGTAGAGAAATATATAAAATAACAAGACAACCTAAATCTAAAAAGATATTAGCAGAATTTAAAGGTAATCCTGATAATAATAAAGTATTTACATCATTAAATGAATTAGCTAAATATTTAAAAGGAGATAGAGCTACTATTAGAAAATATTTAAAAGGAGAAGGTTATTATAGAGGAGTATGAAGATTTAAATACTGGCAAGGCGAGATAAAATAGAAATATTTTAGTCTAGATTTCACCATATGCTGGAATCCCTTTAGAGCTTTTAAAACTAGTATTGCAGACTTAATTAATTAATAAAGCGGCAATAAACAGTAACAATTTAAAAAGATTAGGCAAATCAGCAGGAAACCAAAGATTAATGGACATTAATAAATATAAATATAAATATAAATATAAATATAAATATAAATATTAATGTATAAAACACGTTAATTTAGTAGGTTCCTCAGAGACTACACGTGAAATACCTGACTAAACATATAATATATATGTTTAAAGGTAAAGATATAGTCCATACATAAATGAAAGTTTATGGTCATATGCATGCCAGCTTTAGTAGGAGGTTTTGGTAAAATAAGGTTTAAATCAGTAATAAATTTAACTGAAAAAAATACAATAGACTCAGAATTAAATAACAAACTAAATGAAAATCAAATTAATTATAATAATTTAGGTCCATATTTAACTGGTTTAATTGAAGGAAATGGTACAATATCAGTATCAAAAAAAGAATTAGGAAAATATAAATATAAACCAAGTATAAGTATAGTATTTAATAAAAAAGATAAACCATTATGTAAATATTTAATAAATTTAACTAAATGTGGAATAATTAATAAAGAAAAAGGTAATTATTTTATATGACAAATAAATAAATTAAGTGAATTTTATATTATTTTATCTTTAACTAATGGTTATTATAGAACACCTAAATATGAAGGATATTTAAGGGCTATAGAGTTTAATAATGATTATATTAATAAAAATATAAATCATACACATCCTAATACTATAAATATTATAAATAATATAAAGATAATTAAAGCTTTACCATTAGATAGTTCAAATATTGAATCAAATTCTTGATTAGCAGGATTTACAGATGCTGATGGAAATTTTTCCTTAGCTATAGATTCTGGTAGATTAAGAATAAACCCAGCTTATAGATTAGAAATAAGACAAAATTATAATAATTATGTCGATACTCAAAATAAAGGATTATATCCTAGAGATTATTTTGAAATAATGTCAAAAATAGGAGCTTATTTAGAAGTAAATTTATATACTAGAAGTAGAAATATGAATATAGATAAAGAAATAAAAACATATCATTCATATATTATAATGACTAATAGTATAATAAAAAATACTAATGTTATAAAATATTTTGATAAATTTCCATTATTATCTAGTAAGTTCTTAGATTATTCTAATTGAAAATATATGGATCAATATATAAAAATTAATGGGCAATGTAAAAATACTTGAGATTTAGGTCTAAAATTAAAAAAAGATTATAATTCAACTAGAACAACTTTTACATGAAAACATTTAGTTAATAGTTATTTAGAACATTAAAAACTATTGTATTAAATTAAACATAATTGCCGTTATAAACTGTAAAGTTTATAATAATTACAACACTATATGCGGGAAACCCCTAAAGATATATTTAAAACAATATTGAAAGTTTTATGACTTATATATAAAAAATATATATTTAATAAAATGTAAAATATATTTCAAGATAATATATATATATATATAAATATTTAATTAAAGATATTTATATAAAAATGGGCAATCCGCAGGAAACGATGTATAATATAGATTTTATTATATTTAGGTTCCTCAGAGACTACACGTGTTGCACCAATCTTAAGATTGGTTGAAGATATAGTCCAAATGTTATACGAAAGATAACAATAAAAAGAATTACTTAATGCCATTAATGTTAGGAGCTAGTGATATGGCTTTCGCTAGATTAAACAATATCTCATTCTGATTATTAGTACCTTCATTAATATTAATATTAACTTCAGCTTTAGTTGAAGCTGGTGCTGGTACAGGATGAACTGTAAAAAAAATATGCAGTTCTAAAATGCCATTCGATGCATGAAACACCTTTATAATTATTATTATAAAATGTTTAAATTACTCAATTGTCTTACTTATATGTTATACTATATACGGATATAATTATATATCATATATAGGTATTAAATGATATAAATCATTTATGAGTCAATTAGTTAAAATATTTAAACATATAGGTCAATATGCCTGTATATTAACTAATATACATCAGAGACTACACATGGCAAAACAATATTCAAATATGTCAAATTCTAATAATAATCCTAAAGATCCATTCAATTTTGAAGAATGATTAGTAGGATTAGTAGATGGTGATGGTACTTTTAATGTATATGTATATCCTGATAAAAATAAAGGTACATTTACATTTAAAATATCATTATCTAAATATAATGCTCAAATGTTATATTATATAAAAACTAAATTAGGTGTTGGTAGTGTAACTATTACATCTAATAATAGTTTAGATAAAAATATGATAACTTTTAGAATTAGAAATACTAAACATCTAAAAGATATTATATTCCCTATTTTTGATAAATATCCTTTATTAACAATAAAAAGATATAAATATCTTATATTTAAAGAATGTGTATTATTATCTTTAAATTCGACTTTAACACAAGAAGAAAAATATAGACAAATAAGACAAATATATAAAAATAAACAATCAGAAGATTATATATCAGATGCTTGAAAAGGTTTAACTATAGAAGATCTTAATAAAGATAAAACATTAGTTAAAAATATCATGTCTAAAGCATGATTAGCAGGATTTATAGATGCTGAAGGTTGTTTTACTTATGTTAAAAAAGATTCAACTAGGAATTACACATTGTTTTGCTATTACTCAAAAATATGATCAAATAGTATTATATGGTATAAAATATTTATTAAAAATAAATGCAAATGTAATATGAAACAAAAAAGGTTTCTATTCATTAAATACAACTAATTCTAGAAATGTTGAATATATTATAGATTTCTTTACATACAATGATTATTTTTCATTATTTAAAGGAGTAAAAAGCTTTGAATTTACAATATGAAGAAGAAGTTATAATAAACATAAAGGGGATTATAAAAAATTAGAGCAAATAAGTATTTGAATAAATACTATTAGAAATAAACATAAATATTAATATTGTTTAAGGTATAGTCCGAACAATTATGTAAATAATTGATATAATATGAGCATATATATATATATATGTGTAATTATAAACAAATTAGATATTTCCCATTAGCAGGTATCCAATCACATAGTGGTCCAGCTGTAGATTTAGCTATCTTCAGTTTACATTTATCAGGATTCTCATCATTATTAGGAGCTATCAACTTCATAACAACTTTCATTAACATGAGAACAATTGGAATGAAATATGAGAATGTTCCATTATTCGCTTGAGCAGTATTATTTACAGCTATCTTATTATTATTAAGTTTACCTGTATTAGCTGCTGGATTAACAATGGGAATCTTCGATAGAAACTTTAATACTTCATTCTTCGAGTATGCAGGTGGTGGTGATGCTGTATTATACCAACACCTATTCTATTGATGAAATAAAATAATATTAATAAGTTTAGTTTTTTATATTAAAAACAATAAAGATAACATAGATGAATTAGAATTAAATGATAAGGATATTATAGATATACCAGATGAAATAATAAATAATGAAAATAATAAAAATAATATAAAAAACTTTAATTATAAAGATTTTTATAAAGCATTTGAAAAAATATATCCAAATAAAGAAAAACCTTCTAAAGATTTCTTAAATTGATTTATAGGTTTTTTTGAAGGGGATGGTTCTATAATAAATTTTAGTAGAGCCAATTCATTTGGTTTAGTTATAACTCAACATAGAGATAATGTAGATGTATTACATTATATTAAAGATAATCTAGGTTATGGTATTATAACTAAACAAGGTAAATATATAGATAGATATATAGTACAAGGTATTGATGATTATTATTTAATGCTTTTAATATTAAATGGTAATTTAATATTACCATATAGAAAGAAAGTATTTAAAACTAGTCTTGATAAATTCAATAAATGATTAAGTACTGGAAATAGTACTATAAGAGTATCATATATTGAATATAAAGATTATAATCTTTTACCTAAGTTAAATAACCATTGAATATCAGGTTTTACAGATGCTGAAGGTTGTTTTACTATATCTATGTTATTAAGAAAAACAGGTACTTATAGACATAGAAGTTAAATTTATTTTAAGTCAAAAACATGCTTATAAATTTACCTATATTAAGTCATTTTTTATTATTATTTAAAGTAGGTTATATAGAACCTCATTCAAATAAAGATAATTAATCATATATAAGAACAGGATTGAAAAATAATAAATTAATATATGATTATTTTGATAATTATAAATTAATAACTAAAAAAGATTCATATAATAAATGAAAAGCTTTAATAAAAAAATTAGAGGATAAAGAACATTTATTAAATCATGAAAAAGCTTTAGAATTAAAATTTGAAACTAAACTTATTAATCCTAAAAAAGGAAATGGAAAATAAGGATTAATTTATCGTAAGATATGAAATTCTATAAGCAGGTGTAAAATTAAATAAGACTTATACAGAATGAACATATAATTAATAAATGTATTAATTCCTTAGTAATATATATATATATTAATTATATATATTGCAATGCAGTGAAAACGGTCAATTGAAAATAATAATAGAAAGACCGTCGGTCATATTAGATTATTTAGGTTTATATCTCAGTAGTTTAATAATTAGATCGCTACAGACTGGTTCACTGTGGGTGTGTACATAATGAATAAAAATTATGACATGCTTAATGTACAGTCGGTACCCATATATTATTAATAATATAATATTTAGTTATTATATGTTATATAATTAACATATCTAAATATATAGGGTATGGATTCTTCGGTCAATGGTGGCCCTTTAACTTTAAAGTTAATGCATAACACTATATGCTGGAAAGAGAAAATGATAATTACTAGTAATAAGAATAAAATTACAGTGATAATATTATCTATTATATATAAATTATATAAATCTAATCAGCAGGTAACCAAAGATATATTAATATCAAGTAGGAACCTCAGAGACTATACGTGTTATAAAAATATATATATATTTTTAAAGATATAGTCCTATATATTATAAATATATTATGAAGATCTCTTAATATTTTTGAGGATATTTATATAATATATATATTATAATATTAATGCACCCAGAGGTAAAAATAATATGCCTCATAATATTGCTATATGCTGGGAAGTCCTTTATATCAAAGATATATAATATTAAAGGCAGTATCAATCATATATATATTAATAATGTAATAGTTTTAATATTATCTAAATTAAATTATTGTATTAATAATAATATAATAATATATAGAAAAGGATTATCAGCAGGTAACTTTATAAATAAAGGAACCTCAGAGACTATACGCAATAATATAGATTTAATTATAGAAATATTATTATATAATAAAGTAGTTAAAACTATTAAAGATATTTCTGTTCATATACCTAAACATAATAGAATTAATAATGATAATGACTTAGGTTATTATTTAGCAGGTTTAATGGATTCAAATAGTGAAATAATAAATAATAATATGATAATACATTTTAATAATGATGATTATAGTTACATGTATTTAATTAAAAAACAAATAGGTTATGGTTCTATTATTAAAGGTAATAACTGTAAATTAATAATAAAATCTAATGGTATACCTAAAGTATTAAATTTGATAAATAATAAGATAAATAATAAAATATTATTTACACAAATAATAAATTATATAAAATTAAATAATTTAAATATAGATTTTATATTAAATAATAATTTGAATATATTAAATAATTATTGATTATCAGGGTATTTAGATGTAAATTCTAAATTTGATATAAATTTAAATTTAATTAATAATAATTTATATAATATTGATTTTAATTTATATATAAAAGCACCTTTAAATGATAAAAATAATATAGATAATAATATATTAAATTTAATTAATTCTAATCTTAAAGGTTATATATATAAAGATGAAAATAATAATGCAATATATAATATAAATAGTTTAAATATAGTATATAAATATATAATGTATTTAAGAAGTTATCATTTAATGTCAAATAAATATTTAACTTATATATATTGAAGAAAAACATATATTAGAGTTCAAAATATAATATGATATGTTACTAATGGTATACCTAAAATAGATTATTATAATCATGAAACAGAAATATCAAAAATAGAAAATAATGCTATAAAATTAAATAAATTAAATAATAAAACTTAAATTCGTTCTATATAAGATATAGTCCTAACAATATGGTAACATATTGAGTATTATATATACATAATAATATATATATAATCAAAATAATGATATATTTTAATTATACCTGGATTCGGTATAATTAGTCATGCAGTTTCTGCAATCGCATCTAAACCAGTATTTGGTGTACAAGGAATGATTTACGCTATGTGATCTATTGGATTATTAGGATTCTGTGTTTGAAGTCAAGATGGCTTTCCTTATAAGTAATTATAAGGTAATAAATTTCACTATATGCTGGAAAGATATTATATATTTTAACTACTAATTAATATTATTAATAGTCACAATGTTAAAATCTTTATCCAATCAGCAAGTAACTTCTTTATGAAGGAACTTCAGAGACTATACGTGAAAATACTTATAGATTAATATATATAAAAATATTAATTAAGAAATTAATATACATTTATTAATTTTTATATAAAAACTAGTTCATATATATTATGCATCTATGTCAACAAATTATAAATATTAATGATAATAATTCAAAATTAAAAATTATGCCTTTAGATAAAGGTAAATATGGATTATTTAGAAAACATTATAAAATTTTATTAAAAAAAGATTTTATAGAATCTGATCAATGATTAGATTGATTTGTAGGTTTTTCTGAGGGTGATGATTGTTTATTTACATCAGTAAAAAACAATAGATGTTATTTTATACTAACACAAAAAGAGATAAGTATATTAAATCATATTAAAGACGTATTTGATTTTGGTAATGTAAAATTATTTAATTATAACAATAAAAGTGTTAAAACTAAAACAGATATTATAGATTTTGGTAGATGAACATGTTATGATAAAAAATTAATAGTATTATTATACTTAATTTTTAATGGTAATTTATATTTAAAATCTAAAAATACTGATCTAAATAATTGATATAATATTCTTATGAATTCACCTTTATCTAGATTAAAAGCTGTAGGTATTACTTCATTAAATTTAATACCTATATTTAATCCTAAATTAAATAAACCTAAATTATATAATTCTTTATTATCAGGTTTTATAGATGCTGAAGGTTGTTTTACTATATCATTTTATACTAGTGAAAAGGTAGCTGTAAGATTTATATTAGATCAAGCAGAAGAAGAAATATTATTAAATAATATAGGTATATTATTTAGTAATAAACCTTCAGTATATTTAAGAAAAACTAAAGGAAAGGATATTTATAGATAATCTATAGATTGTAATCCAAATTGAGATAGATATGATAATATTATCAACTATTTTGAAACCTTTCCTTTAAAATCAAATAAACTAAATAATTATATTTATTGATCTCAAGTTAAAGATGTTTATTTAATGAATAAAGATAAAGACTTTATATTAAAGATTAAACCTATTATCTTAGCATTAAAAGATTCTGATAAATAGTTATTTATATTGTAAAGTATAAGATAGAGTCCTTTTTTTATACAGGTTTATATTTTAATGTTTTATTATTTATTTCACCTGTATAAAATATTACATCACATGTTTGCCGTAGGTTTAGATTCAGATACTAGAGCTTACTTCACATCAGCTACAATGGTTATTGCTGTACCAACATCTATTAAAATCTTCTCTTGATTAGCAACTCTTTACGGAGGTACAATCAGATTAAACGTAACTGCATTATTTGCTTTAGGTTTCATCTTCTTATTCACAATAGGTGGATTAACAGGAGTTGTATTAGCTAACTCAGCATTAGATATCCCATTCCACGATAGAAAATTAAATAAAAGATTTAGTTCTCAAAAAACTCCCCTAAAGGATCCCTCTCTCTTAAATATTAAAAATGATTTAGAAAGAGGGGCTAATAATATCTTACCTTTTTTTGTTGGTTTATTTGATGGAGATGGTAATATACAAGTTAATCATTGAAGAAAGAAAAATCTTCAATTTAGATTAGTTATAGAACTTCTTAATAATATTGGAAATGTTAGAATGTTAAACTTAATTACTAAAGAATTAGGTGGTAAAATAATATTTTCAGGTATAAAAGTAAAATGAACAATGAATGATGCTCAAGAAATTATAAAACTTTGTAATATTTTTAAAGAGTATCCTTTATTAACTAAAAAAAAAAGATATCAATTAGCTTTCTTACAAACTTTCTATTCTATATATAAAAATATTGATAAAGAATTAGCTATGAAATTATATTTTGAATTAAGAAATAATAAATATGATAGCAATACTTATAAATATTTAAATAATAAAACGGGTTGTAATAATAATTATATACCTATTAATTATAATAAAATTGATCAAGTTTATTTTTGTAATTGATTTGCTGGCTTTATTGAATCTGAAGGTAGCTTCAGTTTAAGAGTTTCAAATAATCACTCATTCTCATTTTCTCAAAAAGATTATGAATTAATGTTATATTGTAAAACATTTTTTAATATACCTAATAAAATTAGAGATATAGGAAATAATAGTTATTTATTAGAATGTTATAAAAAAGAACTTTTAGATAAATTTACTATATTCTTTAATAAATATCCATTATATGGAAATAAATTAGATCAATTTATAGAATTTAAAAATGCAAGAGATAAAACTAACTTTTGTCCTCCCTCAGAGGACAAATAAATATGTGTCGTGTTGTCAAACCACTATGTTAATTATATATATAAAAGATGAATAATTAACGGTTATCCCCTCCCCCCCCATCCATTATAAATGGATGGGGGAGGGGAAAGCTAACGGTGAAATCTTATTAATGATAGATTAATGACCTATCTACTACATAATTAATAAGACAATACCGTGGTAACCAATATATATATGTTATATTGGGAACTGTAGAGACTATACGTGGTTATTATTATAAGGTTCAATAAAAACAAATATATTAATTTGGTCGTATAATATTAAGATATAGTCCGATCCATATCGTGAGATATGAAATAGAATAAATCAAATATATATGTTCTATTTAGACTTTTGTCATACTATGTAGTAGCTCAAATGGGCCTTTAACTTTAATTAGTTAATGCATTCAGCTATATGCTGGAAACTATGTATATAAAATATAGTTTACTCGGTATTTAATATCAGTAATAATAACTATATATAAGAATAATATATATTATTCATACATACAATCAGCAGGAAACTTTATAGGTTCCTCAGAGACTAAACGCTGAATATTTAATTATAATAATTAAATAATGATATAGTCCGAATAATAAATAATATATTTATTATTATTGCATTTCCACTATGTATTATCAATGGGAGCAGTATTCTCAATCTTCTGTGGTTGATACTTATGATCACCTAAAATCTTAGGATTACACTATAACGAGAGATTAAGTCATATTCACTTCTGATTAATGTTCATTGGAGTTAATGTTACATTCTTCCCTATGCACTTCTTAGGTCAAATGTAGGCCTTATATAATAGTGATATTATATTAATAACAACACTATATGCTGGAAAGTTTAAAATAACAATTACTTATAGTAAAAATATTGTTAATTATATTATATTATATATATAATATTTTATAATACTAATCAGCAAGTAACTTTCAATAAAAGGAACTTCAGAGACTACATGTGTTGCACTCAAAATTTTGAGTTGAAGATATAGTCCCCCTTACATCTTAAGTGTTAAATATAACACTATTATTAGTAATATACTCTATATTATTAAATATTCTTATATTAATTATAATTAATATACCTTATTTATTCTTTTCAAGTTCCTCATTAAATAATTATTATAATAATTATAATTATTATTCAAATAAAGGTGAGGATAATGATAAAAATAAAAATAAAAATAAATTTAAAATCTAAACCTGTATCTGGAGTTTATAATTTAGATACTGAGAAACATATACTTATTAATCAATTAAAAAAAAAAAAGAGCCGGTGTTTATTTATTACAAAGTAATATAGATACTAGTTAATATGTAAGTTCAAGTTCAAATTTAGCAGTTAGAATTAATACATATTTACAATCTTTAAGATGAAATGATAATAGATTAATAACTAATACTATATTATTACATAATTTTGATTTTTCTATTGTTATATTATCAGATATAGGTTATACTGATAATATTACTAAAGAAGAAATATTATCAATAGAGTAAAAGTATATAGATTTATATCAACCTAAATTAAATTTACAACTTATAACTGATTCTAATTTAGGTTTTAAACATAGTAAATATACTAAATAATTAATATCTCAGATAATAAAAGATGAAAAGTTATCAAATGAAATTAAAGCTAAATTAATATTTTTATTTACTGATAATATTAATAAAACATTTGAAACTCAACAATTCGAAATATTTAATAAAATTAGTGAAATTATAGATTATAATAAATATCCTAATTATGCTAATAAATCAAAAGCATTTATTTATCATATGTTTAAGAATAAAAAGGGTGTTAATAATCTAATATATGATATAAAAAAGAGCCAGGAAACTTTATTAAAAATAAGAAAACCAATATATATTTATAATAGTAATAAAGAATTAATATATTCTTTTGAAAAAACTATAGATGCAGCTATTAAAAATAGGAGCTTCTACTTTAAATAAATATAAAGATACTGGTATAATATATAAAGATATATATATATATATTCTAAAAAATTAGAGTAATTAATAACATATATTATATATTATATATTATATATATTATATATATTACTTATATTGGATGTAAAAGCTACAAGGAATGCCAAGAAGAATTAATGATTATCCAGATGCTTTCATCGGTTGAAACCAAGTAGCATCATTAGGATCAATCATATCTATCGTAGCTTCAATAGTATTTATCTATGTAGTATATGACCAATTAACAAATGGATTACACCAAGGAAATAAAGCATTAGACAGTCAATTTAAACCAAGCTTTATGGGAACTAACTTAAATGTAGAAGGATATACAGGACCAACATTAGAGTGAACAGTATCAACACCACCTTCATTACATGCATTTAATACTCCAGCTGTATTATACTAGTTTATATAACTAAAAAATAAAAATGAAAATTAGTTTTAATAATTATTATTAATTTAATCTTTTACTTCGACTTTTTCAAGGGTAACTCCCTGAAATTGAAAGATTAATTGATAATTTATATACCTGTATATACAGGTTATAATAATATTATGATAAATTAATAATATATTATCCCTATATTAATATATATATATTAATTTAAGGGTAATATTGTATATATACATATCATTATCAGTTTAACCCCCCCCCTCTCTCTAACCTTTTTTAGGGAGTGAATAAAGGGATAAGGGACTGATAAATATTTATATATATAAATATTATATAATTTAATAATTATATGATTTAATGTATAGAGAAAATAATTTATAATTAATATATTAATTAGTCACGGTATTATGTTAATTAATTTATAATATCAGGACATAAATTATTTATAGACTTTTTTATAGTAAACACTTTAATATGCCTCAATTAGTACCTTTTTACTTCACTAATCAAATATTTTATGGTTTCGCTTCATTAAGCGTAATTGTATACTTATTTTCAATATATATCTTACCACACTATCTAGAGATATATGTTACAAGAATATTTATTACTAAAACATAATTTATTTATCAGCTCTAATTCCTTTTACTTTCAAACCGTAAAGGATACTAATTTAATTTAGTGGGCTAAAATCAGGGGTTAACCCTGATTAATTATATATTTTAATAAAAAAAAATATATATAATTATATAAACATATTAACTGTTTATTATAATTTAAATTTAAACATATCATATTGATTGTTTATTAATGTATAGAGAATACCTAACAAATATTTATTAATTATACCATTTAAGGTAAATATTAATATATATGTCTATCTCTCCTCCTGACTCCCCCCCCCCTACTAGTTAACCTGTACCCTTAAGCATTTTTTTGGAAGGGTAAATGGTAAATGGTAAATTAATTAAATTAAATTAAATTAAATTAAATTAAATTAAATTAAATTAAATTAATTTTAGGGTAAAGGGAATATATAAGGATGAGACTTATTCAGGTTAGAGTATATAGACTTTAAATTATAACAAATAAAAATGAATTTTATCATCAACTCACCATTAGAACAATTTACAACTAGAGTTTACTTCGGTTTAAGCTCAGGTTTAATTAACTTAGATACTATAACATTAACAAGTTTTAGTATATACTCAATTGCTGTAGTAGCATTAATATTAGGATTCTCAATCTTAAATGATAACAATACAAACATTTTACCTACAAGATGATCATTAGCTTTTGAAAGTTTATACTTTACAGTAGAGAAAATGGTATCAGAGCAAATAGGAGGTTTAGAGGGAAGATTATTATTCCCATTCATGTTTTCATTATTCATGTATATTTTAATAGCTAATGTTGTTAGTTTAGTTCCATATAGTTATGCTATTAACGCTCAATTAATATGAACAATAGGTTTATCAGTTGCTATCTGAATCGGATGTACTTTAACTGGTTTAGCTAACCATGGAGCTAAATTCTTTGGTTTATTCTTACCTTCAGGTACTAATTTACCATTAGTTCCAGTATTAGTAATAATTGAATTATTATCTTATATAGCTAGAGCCTTATCATTAGGTTTAAGATTAGGATCAAATATCTTAGCTGGTCACTTATTATTAGTAATCTTAGCAGGTTTAATTTTAAACTTCATCTCAATTAGTATATTTACATTTGCTTTAGGTATCTTACCTTTATCTATCTTATTAGGTATCGTAGCTTTAGAGTCTGCAATCGCATTTATCCAAGCTATAGTATTTACAATATTAACATGTTCATATATTAAAGATGCTATCCACTTACACTAATGATATTATATATATAAAATAATATCTAAAAAATATATATATATTTTTATTTAATTATTAGTATTTAATTAATCAAACCTAAATCTTCCAATTTCTAAATTGGAGGGTTTAGGTTCTGGGATAATATATTAATAATCATAAGTATATCTTATCTTAATAGTTTTACTATTTATATATAATTATCTCAACTATTTGAGATAAGTAATTAGTAGATTTATTTCACCATAATCTCTCATTTATAGGGGTGATTATGGTCAAAGATATATAAAAAACAAAACAAAACAAAAAACAAAAAACAAAATGAATTTAACTTTAAAAAAATTCCAAGTTCACCCATTCCATTTAGTAGCACCATCACCATGACCTATTTTAGTTTCATTCAGTGTGATGTCAATTATGTTAACATTAGTATTTAATATGCATGGTTTCATGCATAATAATTATTGAGTAGTATTCTCAGCTATAGTAGCTATAATGACTATGGCTTTATGATTTAGAGATATAATCTCTGAAGCTACTTATTTAGGAGATCATACTTTAGCTGTAAGAAAAGGATTAAATATAGGATTTATCTTATTCGTAGTTTCAGAGTTATTCTTCTTCATAGCTATATTCTGAGCTTTCTTCCATTCAGCTATGGCTCCTACAATTGAATTAGGAGGTGTATGACCTCCAGTAGGAATAGAAGCTATAGGACCTTCAGAATTACCTTTACTTAATACTATATTATTATTATGTTCAGGTGTTTGCCTGAAATGTATTAATTTAAAGTTAATAGGGAATATAAAAGATAACAGTGTTTTGTTTTTTCTCTAAACCTAGAGTACCATCTTTATTAAGAATAGGACCACATAATCATGATATATTATCAATATTAATAGGTTCGTTATTAGGTGATGGTAGTATGGAAAAAGATGGTAATGGTTCAAGATTTGCATTTTATCAAGAAAAATCAAATGGTGAATATTTATTACATCTTCACCATATAATTAGTTCTCTAGGTTATTGTAAACCGGAAATACCTAAAATACATACAAGAAAAGGAGCAAAAGAAGGAACAATAAGATATATCTATAGATTAAGATCTTATACTTTCTCTTCTTTTAATTGAATTCATAGTAGTTTCTATCCTAATAATAGAAAAGTTATACCTACTAATATTAATTTAGAAGATTATATCACACCATTAGCTCTTGCAATTTGAGTTATGGATGATGGTTATTATCATAAAAATAAAGGTATAAGTTTCTCAACTAATTCTTTTACACTAGATGAAATAAAATATCTAGGAAATATATTAAAAAGTAAATACTCTTTAGATTATTCTATAGTAAAAACTGGGACTATTAATCAATATAATATATATATACCAAAAGAATCAGCAATTTTATTAGGTAAGATTATCAAAAAACACTTAGCACCTTCAATGTATTATAAAATTCCAGTTCAATGTTTTTTATAAATTATTAACTTAAATTATTATATAGTCTGCAATAATATTATTAAATATTAAATTATTAACGCAGGCAACGTCGATGAAAACGGTCAACGATTAATTTTAAGACCGTCGGTTATATTTTTAAATAATATGATCGCTACAGACTGGTCCATCGATGGGTGTTATTTATATAACGCTTTATGTACAGTCGGAATTCTAATAGTATTTAACTTCATATTATTCTAAGTACTTATATATATTTTCTAACCTATATCAAATATCGATATATAAATTGAAATATAATATATATATATAAGAAACAAGGGTTAATTTAATTAATCGAGGATTTGGCCACATTAACATGAAGTCATCATGCTTTATTAGGAGGTAATAGATTTAATACATTATTAGGTTTAATATTAACTATAGCTTTAGCTGTAACATTCATGATATGTCAATATATGGAGTATAGTAATGCTCCTTTCACTATTTCAGATGGTATCTTTGGTTCTGTATTCTATTTTGGGACAGGTTTCCATGGTTTACATATTATTATAGGTATTATCATGTTAGGTGTATCATTATGAAGAATATATACATACCAATTAACAAATAACCACCATGTAGGTTATGAGACATCAATATTATATTATCACTTTGTTGATGTAGTTTGATTATTCCTTTACATCGTTTTCTATTGATGAGGAACATAAATTATAAAAATGTTTTTAACTTCAATATTATTAAGTTCTTTATACTTGTTTAATAGAATACTTGCATGACAAGGTAATGTTAAACATTTTTACTTATTCGCTTCAAACTTATTATTATTATTTATAGTTGTATTATATATTAATTTTAATACTTTTTCAAATAGTTTCCAATTTAATTTTGAATTATTTAATTCATTAAACCCTTTTGGTTTAAGTAATTCAGATATTAGTAATGGTTTATTATTTGGTATTGATGGTTTATCATTAACTTTCATATTATTAACTGTATTATTAATACCATTAACTTTATTAGGTAATTGATATAATATTAACTTTAATTCTAATTTATATTATACTTTAGTCTTAGCTATTGGTTTAGTTATTTTATTAAACTTCTGAGCTTTAGATTATATTAGTTTCTATATATTATTTGAAGCTACTTTACCCTTATTATTCATTTTAATACATATTTATGGTTCTTCAGATTCTGAAAGAGCTTCTTTCTATGTTTTAATGTTTACTCTTAGTGGTTCTTTATTCATGCTATTATCTATCGTAGTTATTAGTATCGTATTAAATACTACTAACTTTATTAATCATAATTTATTCGTTTTATCTTTAGATTTACAAACTATTATTTGATTAGGTCTATTTATAGCTATAATGGTAAAAACACCTTTATTCCCAATTCATGTATGATTACCAGTTGTACACTCAGAATCTCCTTTAGCTGGTTCTATGATCTTAGCTGGTTTAATTTTAAAATTAGCTTTATACGCAATATTAAGATTATTATTACCTCTATTATGTGAAGCACAAATATTATATACACCTATGATATATATTATTAGTTTATTAACTATTATATTGACATCTTTAGCTACTTTAAGACAAATTGATCTTAAAGTTATTATCGCTTATAGTTCTATCTCACATATGGGTATAGCTATATTAGGTGTATGTTCAAATACTTCTTTAGGTATTTATGGTTCAATAGTATTAGGTGTAGCACACGGTTTTGTAAGTCCAGCTTTATTCTTAATCGTTGGTGGTATATTATATGATAGATATCATATAAGAATCGTTAACTATTATAAAGGATTAACTACTTATATGCCTCAATTAGCTACTTATATTATCATATTAAGTTTCGCTAATATTGGTACTCCATTAACAGGTAACTTTACTGGTGAATTCTTATCTTTACAAGGTGGTTTTATTAGAAATCCTATTATAGGTGGTATTAGTTGTATATCTGTTCTATTGGCAGCTATATATCAATTAAAACTAACTAATAAATTAACTGGAGGTATTTCATCTATATATATGCATAGAACAAATGATGTAACTATAAGAGAGAAATTTATTATGAATATCTTAATAATTTCAACTTTAATTATAGGTATCTGTCCACAAATTATGTATAACTTATTATATTGAACTGTAAATAATTATATTTATATTATTTAAATTTTAATTTATTTTTATCTCTTAAATTACAAATTAATAGTTTTAATTTAAATTCAATGAGACTTTTAATTGTAATCATATTAGATTACCTGCCCGCTTATAAGCGGGCCGATATTTATATATATAAAATTATAATTTTATATTATTATATTTTTCTCCTCCTTCACTTCTATATTATATATATCTATAAAAAGAGCATAGTTAAATGGTATAACAATTGATTTCAGTCCAATCATTATAGGTTCGATTCCTATTGCTCTTGAAAGAAGTAATTTATATAATGTATATACTATATATCTATATAAATTATATAAGATAATGTTTGAACATATAAAATCTAACCATCCCTCCCTATAATTAAATATTAATAATTTTTAATTAGTGATAATGGTGGAATTTGGTAGACACGCTTAGTTTAGGTCTAAGTCTTTCGAGATTGCAAGTTCAAGTCTTGCTTATCATATAAAATAAAAATATTATAATTATTAGTTTCCCTCTCCTATTATCCACCATAATTTACTTACCCATGATTGAAAGATTATAAGATAAAAGGTTTATAATGGGTTAAATAAAAGATAAATAAAGAAAAGAAAAAAAAAATACAGATGATGGTCTAATGGTATGACGCGTGGTTTGGGGCTATGCAATCCTAGTTCGATTCTAGGTCATCTGATAATTAAGTATAATATGTCTATACTTAATACATAATAGATTTTTGAAACTAGTACATAGAAATATAATTAAATATGCAATTAGTATTAGCAGGTAAATATATCGGAGCTGGATTAGCTTCAATCGGATTAGTAGGAGCCGGAATCGGAATCGCTATCGTTTTCGCAGCATTAATCAATGGTGTAAGTAGAAACCCAGCCTTAAAAGGACAATTATTCACTTACTCAATCTTAGGTTTCGCTTTATCAGAGGCAACAGGATTATTCGCTTTAATGATCGCTTTCTTATTATTATACGCTGTATAATTTTAGAAACTTGAAATCAAAGTCCAATAAATTAAAAATATAGATAGTTATATCTATATATGAATATATATGGTATATATAAGAGTTCAAATCTCTTAATATTCATTAGAAAAGTAAAAAGATTTAATATTTAATCTAAACTTAAAAATATATTTATATATATTATATTATTAAATAAAAGATCTAATATTTAATCTAAACTTAAAAATATATTTATATATATTATATAGATATATTTATAAATTATATTATATGAATATAATATATAATAATACTTATAAATATTAAGTTAATAATAGTTTAATTGTAAACAATATAAATAAAAATATAAATATAATTATATAAATATAATTATATTTATATATAAATCTTTATAATAGATATTATACATATAATGTGTAATATTTATTCAGATAGCATACTTATATAAGACATTTTACATATAAAGTTTTAAGTATGATTATACATTAATAATAATAAAAAGTTTATAGATGAATATTCTTTATTAATAATAAATTTAATTTATGTTTAAAATATTTAATGATGTTCCAGTGCCATATGGATTATATTTCCAAGATTCGGCAACTCCTACTTTCGATGGTATAATCGAATTACATGATATTGTTATGTTCTATATAGTAGTAACAATTGTATTAGTATCATACTTATTATTTGTTATAATTAAAAATTTCAGTAATGATCATATTAGTTATAAATATTTAACACACGGTACAACTTTAGAAATAGTTTGAACTATATTCCCAGTTGTTATCTTATTATTTATAGCATTCCCTTCATTTATCTTATTATACTTATGTGATGAAGTTATTGACCCAGCTATGACTATTAAAGCTATAGCTTCTCAATGATATTGAACATATGAATATAGTGATTTCATTGGTGAAACTGGTGAAATAGTACAATTCGATTCGTATATCGTACCTACAGATATGTTAGAGAATGGTCAATTAAGAATGTTAGATGTAGATGCTAGAATAGTAGTACCTACAAATACACATTTAAGATTTATCGTGACATCTAGAGATGTTATACACGATTTTGCATTACCTAGTTTAGGTATTAAATGTGATGCAACTCCTGGTAGATTAAATCAAGTATCAGCTTTATTACAAAGAGAGTCAGTATACTATGGACAATGTTCAGAATTATGTGGTGTATTACATAGTAGTATGCCTATTGCATTAGAAGCTGTATCTATAGATAAATTCTTATCATGATTAGACGAGCAATAAAATAAATTAAACAAGATTAATAAAAATCTAAACCTAACGCCCCCCCTCCCCCCTTAATTTACTTTTTTAGCTTTCCCCCTCCTAACCCTTTAATAAGTTAGGGGGGGGGGGGTAATAATAAAAAAGTAATAATAATTAATTAAGGTGTATAATAATAATATATATATATTATATATATTATTGCTACAGTGTAGATAATAAAAAAGATTCGAAATATGTATAAATAGATTGATAATTAAAAGTACAATTCACAAAAAATGTTTATAGGAACTATTATATTAGTTTTAAGCTTTTTAGGATTCGTCTTTAATAGAAGAAATATAATATTAGCATTTATATGTTTAGAGACAATGTTGCTAGGTATAAATTTAATATTATTAAGAAACAGTGTATTATTTGATGATATCTCAGGAAGTTTATTTGCAATAGTAATTATAATCTTAGCAGGTGTAGAGTCAGCTATAGGTTTATCATTATTAGTAAGTTATTATAGATTAAGAGGAGTTATTAATAGTTATGGTATATAAATGTATAACGCTATATCATTAATTATAATACTACCTTGTATAAGTTGATTATTCCCATTATTCTTTGGAAGACAATTAGGGTATGTATTTGTAACAAGAATGACAAGTACATTAATAATAATTACAACTTTAATTACATATTATTATTTTTATCAATTATTAGGTAATAATAATCCAATAAATTTAGAATTATTTAATTATTTAAATATAGACTATTTAGATATTAACTATAATTTTGAAATTGATGCTTTAACTATTACTATGTTATTAGCTATTACTACAATTAGTAGTATGGTTCATATATATTCTATAGGTTATATGGAAACAGATCCTCATCAAGTAAGATTTTTCTCATTATTAAGTATGTTCACTTTCTGAATGATAATCTTAGTTACAGGTTCAAATTACTTTGTTTTATTTGTAGGTTGAGAATTTATAGGTGTAACTAGTTATTTATTAATTAGTTTCTGAGTTACTAGATTACAAGCTATGAAATCAGCATTATCTGCAGTATTAATGAATAGATTTGGTGATGCATTCTTCGTATTAGGATTATGTGTTATAGCTTATGTATTTGGAACATTAAATTATTCAACTATATTTGCAACTGCTTATTTAATAAATACAGATTTATTAGTTTTAATCATGTTAGCTTTATTTATAGCAGCTATGGCTAAAAGTGCTCAATTTGGTTTACATAATTGATTGACATTAGCTATGGAGGGTTGGAATAATAGGGCCCTCTTAAAATTTCACTATATACGAGAATATCCCCAACTAGTTTTAATCATTATAAATGGCTTAAGACTTATAAAATTATTATGGTCCACTCATTTAAAATTAGTGTTCGGAATAATTCATAATATGGGACAATTCGTAGGCAACTGTACTTATTTATTAAAATTTACAAATACTAATTTAATAAAAAATATAGGAGCTTCAGAGACTACATGTGAAACATTATTAACTAATAACTTAACAAATAATATAATAGATGATAAATTTAAACATTGATTAATAGGTTTCACCGAAGGTGATGGTTCCTTTATAGTATCTAATAGAGGTTATTGTGAATTTAAATTAACACAATCAAGTATAGACTCTCAAGTATTATATAAAATAAAAAATGAATTAGGTTTAGGTCATGTTGCAGTTCAAGATAAAAACAATTCAACTCATCATTTAAGAATTAGAGATAAAGTAGGTAATAAAAAAATTATAGATATATTTAATGGAAATTTACATACAGAAGCCAAAATTAAACAATTTAAATACTTTTTAAATTGTTATAATAAAGCATATGGAATTAATATTGAATATATTGAAAATAATAAACCTGTTACTTTAAATAACGGTTGATTATCTGGTTTTACAGATGCTGAAGGTTGTTTTAATGCATATATTTCTAAAGAAAACCTTAATAAAAAGAATAGAAGTGTCCAAATTAGATATATTTTATCTCAAAAAGGTGATAAAATATTAATGGATAACATAGCAAATTTATTAGGTGGAAGTGTATCACATTTAAAAGCATATAATGGTTATAATATGACTGTAAATTTAACTAAACTTAAACCTATAATTGAATATTTTAATGAGTATACTTTATTAACTAAAAAAACTATTAGTTATAATATATGATTAAAAATGTATTATATAACTATAAATAAAGAACATATTACAAGTAGTACTACAGATGGTACTATAGATTTAAATAAATTATTAGCTTTAAAAGAAGAATTAACTAAAGCTAATAAAATAAAATAAACCAATTTAAAAATTAATCAATAAATAAATTAAACACCCCCCCCCATTCATTTTTAATGGGGGGGGGGGACTATTATATTATTTGTATTATTAAGTTAATATGAAGATATAGTCCGAACAATATAGTAATATATTGAGTATATATATATTATATTATATATATATCAACATTTTGCCAACACCAGTATCATCATTATTACATGCAGCTACATTAGTTACAGCTGGTATTTATTTATTATTAAGATCTGCTAATATACTTGAGTATACTCCTACAGTATTATTTATTATATTATGGATAGGTGCCTTAACTACATTAAGTGCAGGTCTTATAGCGATATGTTCTAATGATTTAAAAAGAATAATAGCATTATCTACAATGAGTCAATTGGCTCGAAAGAATCTAATTATGATTCTTAGGAAGCAATCTATATGCGTAGAATTTATTATCAGTCCGATAATAAACAATTCGCAGGTAACCAAAGCTCTTTATTATATATATAAATATAAATATAATAATAATAATAATTACTTTTTTAATTCATATTTCGCGTTGCGACTTCTTAAAGAAGAACTATGAAAAGTAAATATTATCAGTCAGTTAGTAGGAACCTCAGAGGCCATACGATTGCTATCTAACATATATACTAATATTAATAAGAGATATATAAGTATAAAACACTTTATTATAAATAGATTATTATTTATAAACATATCTATCTTAACCAAAAGAATTAGGGTATACACTAAAAATAAAAAAAAATCATCATATAATAATTATAAATATGATTCTATCTTAACAAAATCATCTAATAATTTTTTAATCAATAGAGTAGGTATTAGACATAATTCTAATATAATTAAATCTAAAGATATTAATATTGAATTAAAACCTATTAAAAAAGATTTAGTTGAACATAAGAAATTTGTTCAATGATTAGCTGGTTTAATAGATGGTGATGGACACTTTAATAAAAGTAAACAAGGTAGATCAGCTTTATTAATAACAATGGATATAAGAGATCAAGGTTTATTATTTGAGATTAAACATAAATATGGAGGTCATATTAGAAAAATTGCAGGTGCTAATGCAGTTAGATATGATCTAAGACAAGATAAAGGATTAATAAACTTATTAAAGGATGTAAATGGTTTAATAAGAAATCCTAAGAGACTTTTACAAATGAATATATTGTGTAAACACTATAATATTGAGACTAAATTTAGTAAACCATTAACTTATTATGATGGTTGATTAGCTGGTATAATAGATAGTGATGGTTCAATATATTTTAATAAAAGTTCAGGTCAATTATTTATAAGTGTATCTCAAAAAGAAAAACATATCTTAGATCCTTTAATATCAATATATGGTGGTAGAATAGATTTTAGTAATTCTAAAAAAGATTCATATAAATATATAATATATAGAAAGAAAGAAGTATTAAATTTATTAGATAATTATTTTAAACATTATCAACTAAGATCAGCTAAAGATATTAGAATAAAAATGATACCTAAATTATATGAATTATATATTTATAGAAACAAACCTGAAGAGGTAGTGAAATATGCAGAGTGAATTTCATTTTTAGATAAATGAAATAAAATCGTTAGATAAAGAAATGGTCCACATAACATTTATTTATATATTTTAATTTATATTATTATATATATAATGTTATTTCGCAACTTGGTATGATGACTATCGCTATAGGTTTATCTGCATATAACTTAGCTTTATTCCATTTATTAGGTCATGCTTTCTTTAAAGCATTACTATTTATGAGTGCAGGTTCTATAATTCATAGTATTTTAAATGAAAGTCAAGATATTAGAACTTATGGAGGTTTATTAAGTTATTTACCATATACATATATTTGTATCACAATAGCTTCATTATCATTAATGGCTATGCCAGGTTTAACAGGATATTATACTAAAGATATTATTATTGAATCTACTTATGGTTCATATAGTATCTCAAATTATGTTGTTTATTGAATTGCTTATCTAAGTGCTGTATTAACATGTGTATATTCTATGAAAATATTATATTTAACATTCTATTCAAATCCTAATAATAATACTATAACATATTATAATGCACATGAGTCAAATATATATATTACATTACCTATGTTTATATTAGCTATATTTGCTATGTTTGCAGGTTGAATATTGAAAGATATATATCTAGGTGTAGGTACAGATTTTGTAGGTACACATATATTACCTAATAATTTCTCATATTTTGATACAGAATTCTCTATAACTCAATTCTATAAATTACTACCTTTAATTAGTGCTATATTAGTATCAATATTAATAGTAGTATTAAACGAATTCTTTGCTATAGTATTTAATTTAAATAATAAATATATTAACACTGTATATTCTATATTTAATCAAAAACTTGTTTCTGATCAAATATTAAACCACTTTATAATATTTAAAGGTTTAGTAACATCAGGTAATATTGCTCACCATGTAGATAAAGGTTCTTTATACAGATTAGGTCCAGTAGGTATTAATAGATTATTAAATAAAGCATCTTATAATGTAATTAATTTATCTTCAAATACAAGAAGTTCATTAAGTATGAACTCTATGTTAATATTAATTACTATAGTTTCATTATTATTATTAGTATTAGTTATGAATGTTAATTTTATAATAGTAATACCTGTATTAATATCTATTCTTTATATATTATTTAGTTAAACTGGAATTAAACCTGAAATAATTAATATAAAAGTATATAAGTACGTAGATGAAGCTATCATAAATCTGACTAGCAATTTAAATATAAAAATTGGTAATTATGTAGATGTATGATGTAATATATTACAAGTGTTAGGTTATTTATAACACCTCTAATTTATAAGATATATATTAATCCAAAAGATATCTTATAGATCCCCTCATAGGAGATATTCCCTCTATACTAATGTCCCATCCCCCCAAAATACAACTATACCTCAACTGTAATCATATTCCCCCTTCCCAATAAATTCTCTTTTATTAAAATCAATTATTATATATATTATATATATAATATACCTCTGTTAATTATATATTAATAATAGTTAGGGGGTATATTATATATATTAGGAATAGTTGTCATAGGAAGGACGAGCCTCTTGCTACGAGGTATTGCAAAATCTGCTGGTTCGACCCCAGCCTATTCCGTATATATGTAGAAAAAGCATATATGAAAAAAAGAAGTCCTACTAGTTTAATGGTAAAATGTTTGTCTTCTAAACAGTTGATCGTGGTTCGAATCCATGGTGGGATATAAAATTTTAAAGGAAAGGTCTAAAACCTAATAAAAATAGAATAAAAAGAATGAGAATTCTAAATTATCAAATAAAAATTATGATAAGATATAAATTAATAATAAATAAAATAATGTTAGTATATATTATCCTTAATAAATGTCATATAATATGGCTTTAAGAAAGAAAAATAGTCTTTTAAATATGGCTAATTCATATGTTTTAGATTCACCTCAACCAAGTAATTTAAATTACTTTTGAAATTTTGGATCTCTATTAGCATTATGTTTAGTAATACAATTAGCAACAGGTATTACATTAGCAATGCATTATACATCACATGCTAGTCTTGCTTTTGACTCAGTGGAGCATATTATGAGAGATGTTAATTTTGGATGATTCATTAGATATGCTCATGCAAATACAGCTTCATTCTTCTTTATATGTATATATGCTCACATGGGTAGAAATATTTACTATGGTTCATATAAAACACCTAGAGTTTTACCTTGATCAATAGGAGTAATAATCTTCTTATTATTAATCATAACAGCTTTCATGGGTTATGTATTAGTATTTGGTCAAATGTCTTTATGAGGTAAATATATAGCCTCAAATGTATTTATATTGATGTTAATTTTAAACGTTAATTTATTATATATAATATATGATATTATATATAATACAATCTTAAACCTTTTTAAATTATATATAAAAAAATCAACAAATAATTTAATTCTCAATCATGAACCTATATTATATAGAAAAGATGTAACTAATTACATCGGACCATTAAATAGTGATATTATTAGTATAATATATGGTACACTATTAGGAGATGGTAATGCTGAAAAAAGAACAGTAGTTGGTGGTACTAGAATAAATATATATCAAGAAGGTTCACATAAAAGTTATTTATTATATTTACATTCTTTATTTGCTAATTTAGGTTATTGTAATACTAAAATACCTAATATCACAACTAGATTAGGTAATAAAGGGAAAATTAGAAAAATAATAAGATTTTCAACATGATCTTATCATTCTTTTAATTTTATATACCAAGCTTGATATATTAAAACTAATAAAGGTTTTATTAAAATATTACCTAAAAATATAGAATATTTTTTAAATCCATTATCTATGGCAATATGAATTATGGATGATGGTAAAAAAGTAGGTGAGGGTCTAAAAATCGCAACTAATAATTTTACATCTGAAGAAGTAAATATATTAGTTTCTATAATAACTAGAAAATTTAATCTTAAATGTGTTAAACAATCTAGTGGTAGTAAAAATCAATATATAATTTATTTTTGAAAAGAATCAATACCAGATTTATGAAATTTAGTTAAGGATCATATAGAACCTTCAATGAAATATAAATTTGGAGATGTTATTTCTAATATATAATAAAGGTTCAAATTAAAAATTCAATATAAATATATAGTTATGTTTTTAGATAATATTAGTAATATGTTATACTTTATTAGAAATATTACTGTTAATAAATTATATTTATTAACTATAAAACATAGCAATACGATTGAAAATATGTCAAAGACATTTAGTTAGATGTTAAGACACTGGGCTTATAAAGAAGTCCCAACAGAGTGGTTCAATTGTAGACATCTGAAAAGATGTTTAATGTGCACTCGGAATTTATAATAAATAATTATCTATCCGGGTAATATTTATTACACAAGGTTTATACTACTTAATAAATAAATTAAGGACAAAAAATATATATTGTATAGTAATATAATTTGTATAAATACATGCTATTAATATAACTAACAAACCATACATAAATCTAAAAATAGCTAAACCCCCTAAGCCATTTATAATAGCTAACCTATATATAATGGAGGGGTTCTACTAAGGGTGGAATATGTATGTGTTGATATAATAAAAGTATCATTATATTAATCTTAATTCTTATATTAAGTTAAATACATTTAAGTATTTAAAGTTAAATTTGGCTACAGTTATTTGTAACTTAGTATCAGCTATACCTTGATTAGGGGAAGATATTGTACACTTCTTATGAGGTGGGTTTAATTTAGAGGACCCATATTATAATTTATTTATAATATTAAAAATCTTGCTTATTGCTGGAATATCCTTCTTGTTAATAAAACATATAAATTTATTATATAATTATATTCATTTATATATATATGTATATATAAATTGAAAGAAAAATATAATTATGAAAATTAATAAATCAAAATTATATAAATATATAATAGGAGGACAATCAGCAGCTGTTAGGTATTTTAATACTAAAGCGGCTCAGAGACTAAACGCAAGAAATCTAATAAAAAAAACTAATAATTTAGATGAATTATATAAAGCTTATATTGTAGGTTTAATAGAAGCCTTCCCCCCCCTCCTGTCATAAGACAGGAGGGGGGAGAAGGCAATGCAAGAAGCAGATGGTTGAGTATCTATTAGTAAAAAAGGTAAATACTTAACTTATGAAGTAGGTATAGAATTACATATAAGAGATATTCAATTATTATATAAAATTAAACAAATTTTAGGAGTAGGTATTATAAAAACATATAAAAGATCTAAAAATCTTAATGAAACATATGAATATTGTAGATATAATATAAGAAATAAAAAACATTTAAAGGATGTTATATTACCTATATTTGATAAATATCCTATGTTAACTAATAAAAAATATGATTATATGAGATTTAAACATCATTTAATTAATGGAACTATATATTCAGAAAATCTTGAAGATTATAAAAGACCTTTAGAGACTGAAATTTCTACTGAAGCTATTAATAATATTTTAAATATTGATTATTTACCATATTGATTAATAGGTTTTATAGAAGGAGAAGGATCATTTAGTTCTTATCTAAATAAAGATCAAAGGGAATGTTCATTTGAAGTATCTCAAACGAATAGTAAGCTTATAATAGAAGCCTTCCCCCCCCTCCTGTCATAAGACAGGAGGGGGGAGAAGGCAACGCAAGAAGCAATAAAAGAATATTTAAAATTTAATGTAAAAGTTTATACTAATAAAGATAACAATTCAAGAGTTAAAATAACTAGTGTAAATGATATGAAAATATTATTAAATTTTATGAAATATAATCCAGTTAAATTATTAGGATATAAAAGACTACAATATATATTATTTTTAAAGGAATTAAGATCAATAGAAAAATATTCAAAAAATATAAAAATACCATCAAATTATTAGATTCAATTATTAGATTATGATATAGTCCGAACAATATAGTAATATATTGAGAATAATATATATAAATATTATCAACAACATGCTCAGTAGGTAACCCTACATTACAAAGATTCTTCGCATTACATTATTTAATGCCATTCGTATTAGCTGTATTTGCTTTATTACATTTAATTGCACTACATACTGCTGGTTCTTCAAACCCATTAGGTATTACATCTAATGTTGATAAATTATCAATGCATCCTTATTACAGTTTTAAAGATCTTATCACAGTATTCGCATTCTTATTAATGTTTACATTATTTGTATTCTTCTCACCTGATAAATTAGGTCAAGGATGGCCTACTACTGTTAATTATATTAGTTTTAATTAACATATATTTTTGTGCTATATGCTGGAACCATATACATATATTAAAATATGTTAAAATTTATAGTAAAACTATCAACTTGATATATAATCAAGATTTAAGAATAATATATTATATATCTATATTTATAATATTATTCTTTATTGAAGTAACATATTATTATGTCATAATTATGACACTTTTTATTTTAAATTTAAATTTAAATTTAAATAAAAGTAAAGTATGGAATCAGCAGGTAACTTATACCAATAAATTATATATGATTTATTATAAAAGGAACCTCAGAGACTACACGCACACAAGTAAGTACTATTTTTAAAAGATGTCTTCATTCAAAAGTATTTTCTAAAGATACAGATTTAACTGTTCTTGATATACATAATAAACCTATAAGTAAAGAATTTAAACAATGATTTGCGGGTTTAGTAGATGGGGATGGTTATTTATATGTTAATAAAGATAATAATTGTGGTTTTGAAATAACTATGGCTACACATGATGAAAAAGTTCTTAAAATTATTCAAAATACATTTGGTGGTAATTTTATAACCAAGATCAGGTGTAAAAGCTATAAGATATAGAACACAAAAATTAAGTGTTGTTAAAAACATAGTAAATTGTTTAAATGGTTATGTTTATAATTCAGTTAGATTATCTCAATTACATAATGTATGTTTAGTTTTAGATATAAAACCATTAAGATCAGAAAAACCTTCCTAAAGATTCAGCTTATATTTCTGGTTTATTAGATTCAGATGGAACTATTAATTATTATTCACATAACTAAAAATAAAAATTTAATATTGTGAATTTCCATCTCTAATAAATATTTACATAATATTGACTTTTTAGAAGAGATATTTGGTGGTTATATTCAATATGATAAAGCTTGAAATGGTACATATAAATGAAATGCTACAGCATTAGCTGTACATAAAGAATTATATGACTATTTTAATAGATTTTCACCTAAAAGTATAAAATCAAATAGAACATCATTAATACAAGAATATTTAAATTTATATCAAGCAGGATACTATAAATCTACAGAGCCTAGAGAAATAAAAATCTGAAAGGAGTTTGTAGGTAAATGAAATACAATAGTATAAAAATAGATAGAATTAGTACTAAATCAGTATTAATTATTTAAAATTAAAATAAAACTAAAATAAACCATTTAATTTTAAATTTACAGAAGATATAGTCCATTAATTATAGTAATATACTATAATTTAAGCATCCAGATAATTATATCCCTGCAAATCCAATGGTAACTCCAGCATCGATAAAAGAAGTCAAATATAATAAAAATAATTCAAATAAAAATCAAATATTAAATCTATTAAATAAAAATATTAAAGATGAAGATAAATATATTGATTCTAAATCCTTTCAACAATTAGCTAATGGTTTATTTCAAGCTGAAGGACATATAGGTGGTTATTTTGAATTAAATCAAACTAGCTATTTTAGACCTATATGTTATATATCAGTAAATGCTACAGATGAATCAGTAAGATTATTTAGAATATTAAATAAAAACTTTGATAATAAGTTAAAATATATTATTTCTTTAAATAAGTCAGGTTTATATCATATAAGAATACAAACTAGAGATTGAAATTTAATAGTTAATAAATGAATACCTTATTTTAGTTTAGCACATGGTGATAAATTAAGAGGATTAAAATATTTATTAAAAGTATATTATATTCAATACTCTAATGATAAAAATGATATAGACTTCAATAATAAAAAAATTAACATTAATATATAATATAGTTGACAATAATCAAAGAAAAATCTCATTAACTGATAAAATAAAATTAGTTCTTAATCATTCTTATCCTGATTATAATATTAATAATATAAATTATAATATTTATAATGATTATCTTATACATGAATTACCTAAAGAACATAATGAAATGAGTATACCTTTCATTTTAGGTTTTTATTTAGGGGATGGTACATTTAATATTAAAATCAGAGATGAGGGTACATTACTATGATATATAGGTGTATTAAGAATAAGTCAAAAGTATACAGAAGATAATGAAAAATTATTTATATTAATATCTGATTATTTAAATACTTATGATTTAGATACTATAATTAGACCTTTTAAAGAAGGTACAGTTATAGTATTAAAAGTAGAATCTAATCAAAATATTAAGAAATTATCAAAATTATTACATGTATATGAAGAATTTTATTTTATTAAAAAAGATCAATTATATTTTATGAATAAATCATCAAAATTATTAGGTTTAGTAAAATATTGAAAAGAAGGCAATATAGTTTTATTAAATTTAATTTCAGAATATAATCTAAACTACAGAGTTAAAAATGATACAAAATATAAATATTATTTAAACAAAATAGAAGAAGGGTTTAAAAATCAAAGTGATTTATATTTTTTATCTAAAGTGGGTATTGAAGGTTATTTAGTTAAATTACCTATAAAAATCAAACCTAAAACAAAGTATTTTTATTATAAAACTTATAATAAGGATAAGGATTTAACATTAAAAACAGCATTAGATTATAGAGATAGAATGTTAAATTTATATTTAATAGAAAATGATTTAATTAAATCTTAAATATTTGAATTATTATTATTATTAATTAAAACTTCAACTGTCGCATTTTAATTAATATTAAATGAAAAAAAGGTGAATTGCAAGAAAATCTGTGATAAATATAATATTATTACAGACAATTTGCAGCGAAGCTTAATTGACATATTATATATATTTGATATATAATTATATTAATAATTATTATATATATAAAAAGGTTAAGAACGTCCAACGACTAAAAATAGATATGTTATATGTGAACATAATTTCCACGAGCGCCTTTGCACTGTCAAACGATCTTGTTTGAGTGTATGACATAGTCTGAACAATTACGTGAGTAATTGAAGTTAGAGATAAAGAGCTTTAACGATAACAAATTTGAGTTCCAGAGTGATACTTATTACCATTCTATGCTATTTTAAGAGCTATTCCTGATAAATTAGGAGGTGTTATAGCAATGGTTGCAGCTATATTAATATTATTAATATTACCTATAGTAGATAGATCTATAATTAGAGGTAATGCATTTAAACCAATTTCTAAATTATTATTTGGTTTCTTTATATGTAATTTCTTATTATTAGGAGTATTAGGACAAGTACATATTGAGCCTCCATTTATAGTATTAGGACAAATATGTACAATATTCTATTTCTCATATTTCTTAATATTATTACCTATGGTATCTACAATAGAAAATATATTCTTCTATATAGGAAGTTTAAGAAAATAGATAATAAATTAATTAATAAATTAATTAATCAATCATAAAAAATGTTAATTTTAGCAATAATTAGTCTTATCACTTTCGTGTCAATGTCTAAGTTGTCTGACAATAGAGCTATTATCAGATTAATTAATATCTATCTAATTTTAGTATTAGTATTAGATAGTTTCTTATATCTTTTATTCTTAAATAATCAAACTTATACTGTAATGGGTGAATTATTAATATTTAATTCATTTACTTTCTATATAGATATGTTAATATATTTTATTATGATTGTTATATCAAGTTTATATGGTTATAATTTATATAATAATAATTTATATAAAACATTATTTGAACCTAAAAAAGAATTAATAATATTATTTTTAATAAATATATTAGGTGCATTATTAATAGTACATTCTAATGATTTTATTACATTATTTGTAGCTATTGAACTACAAAGTTATTCTATTTATTTAATAACAGCTATTTATAATAGTTCATATAAAGCTTCTAAAGCTTCAATGTTATATTTCTTTATGGGAGGTATATTATCAATATTAATAGCTTATTCTATAAATACATACTATAGTGTTTTAAATTCTTATACTTTACATTCATTAGATAGTCTTATTATAAATACATTAGATTTAAATTTAATATTAATAGCTTTATCATTAGGTTTATTATTCAAAATAGGTATAGCACCATTACATAAATGATTAATATCTATATATGAAAATACACCTATATTAATAACAATTTATATTAGTTTAATACCAAAAATAAGTATATTATCATATTTAGTATTATCAAATATTTCAATAAATTCATTAGTAATCTCTATATTAGCTATCTTAACTTTATTAGTTGGATCAGTTGGTGGATTATTACAAATAAAAATAAAAAGATTATTAGCATTTAGTGGTTTAACTAATGCAGGTTATATGATGTTATTATTATTATTAAATAATAACGAATTCTCATATTTATACTATATTACTCAATATAGTATATCTCATTTAGCTATATTTATGATAATAATCTTTAGTATATATTATATTAATTATATTAATAATCAATATAATCCTATTATATATGTAAATCAATTAAAAGGTTTAATACATGATAATGCTTATTTAGTATTATCTATGGCTATAGTGGTATTCTCATTTATAGGTATACCACCATTATTAGGATTCTTTGGTAAATTAAATATATTAATGTCAATATTAAATAATGGATATTACTTTATATCAATAGTTTTAATAGTTGCTAGTTTAATATCTGCATTATATTATTTATACTTATTAAATGTAAGTATACAAGATAAAAATAATATACTAATAAATTCAAATGAAACAGTATCTTCAGTTTTAAGTTATATATTAAGTTCATTAATTATATTAATAACATTTGGATTTATATATAACTCATTAATAATAGATATATTTAATGTCTATTTTAATTAAATAAATAAATAAATAAAAAATGAATACATTTATCATCTTTATTATTTTAATACCTATTGTAGGTTTTGCTTTATTAGCCGTAAATATATTATTAGCAGTATATAAACCATATAATGAAAAATTAGGAGCATTTGAATGTGGTTTAACTAGTTTCAATCAAACTAGATTAGCATTCAATGCAGCTTTCATTTTAGTAGCAATATTATTCCTACCTTTTGATTTAGAAATATCAACATTATTACCTTATGTTATGTCAATTTATTTAGTATCTAATTATGGTTTCACTATAGTTTTATTATTTTTATTAATATTAATTATAGGTTTCGTATATGAAATTAATACTAATGCATTAAAAATTAACAAACATAATAAACCAAACACAGATTCATTAATCTATAAGTTATAATAAATCAAACTAAAGTTTAGTTACAATAACTAAAATTTTATAATTTGTGTTTATAATTATATATATAATATATATATATAAGCTCTAATACCTTTTTTGCCTTCTTCCTCTTATTAGACAGTAGGGACGAAACATAATATTTAGGTAGGATTATATATAATAAGTTCAAATCTTATATAGAGTATAATATATAAAAAATATAGAGCATTGATGAAAAAAAAAAAGTTAAATTAATAATCTATATATTATTATAATATAAACATATTAT